AAATAAAACTAACTTTATTTTTTATTTCATAAGGAAATGTCAAAAATTTATGATTTTCGAGAGTTTTAGACCATGTTAGAAAACGTGTTAGAAAACATGTTAGATCTAACATTCTAACATAAACTTTATTTTTGGGTCCTTTACACTCATTACGATGAAGTCATGACAAAACATTTACGTTCATGTTTGACAAAACATGTACGAAGAAGTCTTGACAAAACATTTACGAAGAAGTCTTGACAAAACATTTACGTTCATGTTTGACAAAGCATGTACGATGAAGTTTCGACAAAACATTTACGAAGAAGTCATGACAAAACATTTACGAAGAAGTCATGACAAAACATGTACGAAGAAGTCTTGACAAAACATTTACGAAGAAGTCATGACAAAGCATGTACGAAGAAGTCATGAAAATTCAAGAGGGTGAAAAAAAATGACACTTTTTCATTAGATAACTGTTATTTTTTGACGAAGTGAACATTGACACTTCGTCAAAAAAATCCCTGAAATCATATCTTACATACAAAAAAATACAAAAAAATGACACTTTTTCATTAGATAACTGTTATTTTTTGACGAAGTGAACATTGACACTTCGTCAAAAAAATCCCTGAAATCATATCTTACATACAAAAAATACAAAATAAAACTAACTTTATTTTTTCTATCTTAAGGAAATTCATGAAAATTCAAGAGGTGAAAAAAAGAGGTGAAAAAACAGGTGAGATCGCACCACTTCACCTAAACTTTATTTTTGGGTCCGGGAACAACTTTCTCTCAATAGGGGCAGTAGCATAATCTTTGCGTAAGCGGTTCAGACCTTCTTCGAACTCTTGGGCTCTCTTCGATTGGGATTGAGATTGGAATTGCTGGGGTGGAGCTTGCTGGAACATCCAAGGGTTGGGGCAGTAAGGCATAGGCTGATGAGACTGTTGTGGTGCTTTAGGTTCCTCTGGTTTGGGAATGGACTGGGTTGGTGGTACGTCGGACATTGTCTTGAAACAGTACAAATATTGTTCTGAAGCAGTGCAAGTCTTGTTCTGAAAAAGTACAAGTATTGTTCTGAAGCAGTGCAAGTATTGTTCTGAAAAAGTACAAGTATTGTTCTGAAGCAGTGCAAGTATTGTTCTGAAAAAGTACAAGTATTGTTCTGAAAAAGTACAAGTATTGTTCTGAAACAGAAAATTTTTCTCACAAATTGAGAGCTTTTACGGGAAATTTGTTCTGAAGCAGTGCAAGTCTTGTTCTGAAAAAGTACAAGTATTGTTCTGAAGCAGTGCAAGTATTGTTCTGAAAAAGTACAAGTATTGTTCTGAAGCAGTGCAAGTATTGTTCTGAAAAAGTACAAGTATTGTTCTGAAGCAGTGCAATGGACAACATCGAGCCATTAGATGAGGCAGTTTACCTAATTTAAATTAACGAGCTTGTTAAGCAGTACTTGCGCAAGGTCATGAAGCCCAAGGTCAAGTTCACCACTATTTCTGGAAGGGCTGCCTTGACTCTCGAGATTTCGACTGGAATTCCAATTCAAATACCAGACGGGACAGCCTACGATGGCATAAAGCAAGCAAAGAAAGAAGCTCTTGTTAAGTTCCTAAACAAACGTCCTTGGATACTACTTCCAAACAGAGAGAGTCCAATTCCACGAATTATACAAATTCTCAGAGCACTGTTCCACTTCTCGGGTCAGCCGTTCTACATAACCTGTGAAGGCGACATCCAACCAGTTCAGTAAACCTTAACGTTTAACTTCACTTTTTTATGTTTTTTGTGAAAGTGTCAAAAATAAATTGTTTTCATGAGTTTTCTACGATGTTAGAAAAAATGTTATTTTCTAATATCTTCACATTCAATACTTTTTCAGCACTTTTCCGTAGTTATATATGAAAGACAATTCGAGATAAAAGTCATAGTACAATGGAATAATATGTTGCACACCATTTGTTGTGAACCAAACTTGAAAGTCAGAGAAACTGTTACTAGGTGGTTCGTAGAATTTAGAAGCAAAGTCATAAAAGTCCTTACCAATACATAGAAAACTATTGTTGCTTGAACTGAAACTTGCATGACACATAACATTTTGAGGGTCAAACACGTTTCTATAAACTGTCAAATCTGCTGGTGGAAGTATAAATTTAAATGGACCATCTGGTGGTAATGGTTCGTTCTGGTTTAGTAACCGAAGAAATTGTGCCCAAGAACGTTTGTCTACTTTCCAATATAAAAACTCTGTATCTCTTGGAGGGTTAATTTCAATCTTTTGAAATGAAACGGTGGAGTTCATCTTGTCATATTCTAGTTTCAGATAGTATGTTCCATTTAGTAAAGAGTCGTATTTTTCTTGAAATTCCCAATAATATTTGTTCATTTGAGTTTAAAAGTCATTTAGAGTTTTCTCAAGACTTTCGTCTGAACGAACTGTAAAGATTCTCATTTCGTCAAATTTGTCTATTAGACCATCAGAACCTTTATACTGCCCATGAAAATATACTGCGAACATAAATGCGTTAGTTCTATTTGAAAACAAAACTCTTCTAAATCCTATTGCCTTTGCATCTGAAGGACTTTGAAGCCAACGAATTGGATAGTCAAACCTGTATGTTCGGGATGAAATTTCTTCATCTGAAATAGTCCTACCAGCATTTGTAAAGATATAGTCTAACGGTTTTGTATCTGCTACTTTTGTTCTTTGTTTTTCAACCTGAAGCATTTAATATATGTAAAAATATATTGTTTTAAAATGGTATGCCATTTCATATTTCTCATCTAACAAACAAGTTTCCTTCAACTTGAGGTTCACTAACAAACTCAGCGTACATTTCAAATTCGAATAAAAAAATATTTTTTCTTTACTTTACATAACCGCCTGCTGCCATAAGTCTTTGACGCCAACCCATACCAGCTAATGAAGGTTGACTTGGTTTAGTTTCCAAACTAAACTTTGGTTTTGGTTTATCTTCAGTTTTTGGTTTTTCTTCTTCTATCGGTTTTTCGTCACTTTTCGGTTCCTCTGACTTTACTTCACTTGCAGGAACAGTTGTGTCGTCAACATCTTCATAAATATCATATGCCATTTGTTTTTTTTCCTTTCAACTTTTTGTGTTTGTTGTAAAGTTTAGAATATTTCGACTCTAAGTCAATGAGATGTTCTATAATGAACTGTTGGTCAGTGAAGTAAACTTTTCCATCTGTTGTCTCGAAAGCTCCTTCAGACTTCAATATTTTATTTGTGAGAGTCTGTTTCTTTTTTGAGATACTTGCCGTTCCATTTTTATGAAAAGTGACTTTGTAGTTAGGGTTTGTATTTCCAGACCTGGCACTTTCTATTATTGAATTTTTCTCTTCATCTGTAAGTTCTTTGACAGGTTTTGACAATGGTTCTGAACTTTTTGTTTGTGGTGTCAAATCTACCGTTTCAACTTCTTCGGTCATTTCATCTCAGTAAAAAATTTTAGTTTGGTTTGTTTTCAACTGGTTGTTTAGGTTTTTTAAGTCGGTCTAAAACTTCCTGAGGTATAGGAAGAACTTGACAAACACGTTGTGTAACTGCTGGAAGTCGACAAATCCATCTTGAACCCATTTGTCTCAATGCTGTATTGTTCATTTCATCTCAGTAAAAAACTTTACATTCCCCACGTTTGAGGTGGTTGCGGTTGGTTATTGTTTACCCATTGTTGTGCATGGTTATATCCTCTGTTAAAGAATCTTTCACCTTGGTCCATATAGTGTCCTGCTTGGTTATAGTAGTCATTTGCTTTGTTATAATAGTTTCCTGCTTGTCTTCCTACATTGTCCATCCATCCTTGAACTTTTCCTCTTGTTTCAGGATTTGGAATAAGATTTGTTGCATCTCGTGCTACATCCCAACCTTTCTGTACAGTTTGTATAATATGTTGTGCTTTCTCTTTAAGTATACCTAATGTACTCAAAATCTTCCTTCCAACTCCAAATACACCTCTGGCTATTGTTCCCACTGCGGGTAAAAATCTAGATGCAACTCCTGCTAATGCGCCAAATAAACCCATTTCTTATAGGATAAAAAATGACGAATCCAAACAAGGACCCCTATGTTTCTAAGGCAACAAAGAAAGCACTCATGATAAAAATCTTTAGTTCAACACCAAATGCTTGGTTTATGGATATCTTGGAAAACATTCCGAGGTATAGAGAAGATGGACCACCATACTGGCTAATATTTGTCGGTCAAAACACAAGATACTGTGAAGCCATACCATTACAGTCCAAAAATATTTTAGATATCTTAGCAGCTTTGACAATATTCGTTGACAAATACCATCCAACAAAACTGACATCTGACTGTGAAAGTTCTTTCAAATCAGATGATGTAAAAAACTATCTGCGTTCAAAAAATGTAAACCAATATTTCATTGTCGACCAAAACCATTCTGCTCTTGGTGTCATTGACGGTTGTATAAAAATGTTAAGAGACTTAAACCAACCACAAGGTGGTGAAGCAAATGAAATGTCATATGACGACAAATATAGACACTTCTCCCAGGCAAAGATGAGACAAGTTTTAAATATTTACAATAGCCGTAAACAAAAAGGTTTGGGAAACCACTCCCCTGAAGAAATGAAAAACAACCCTGACTTAGAGAAAGACTATATATTTAATAATTTAGTCAAAGAGACAAACAAGAAAGAATGCCGGGCTTCAAACTTCAGAAAGGTGACAAAGTAAAAATAGAAATACCTAAACGCGACCCATATGAAAATACTATTGACTATGACAACAATGGGAACCCGACAGGTACTCACGTTCGTGTTCGTAAAAATAGAAGAAAGTATACAAGAGAATATTATGAAGTTTTAGGCAAACATGGCAAAATGTACACACTGCAAGCAGAAGATAAAACTACTATTGTCAGACCTCGTTTCAAACTTGTCAAAGTTCAAGGTGGTATACTTTCAAAGACAGTTCCTAACAAATATAAGACAACTCCTGACGAATATGCTAAAGAAGTTGAAAATGACGACTAAGCATTTCTATACCATGCGTAAACTGTCATGTAAGGTGGCATGTATTCTTTACTTTGTCCCGTTGTTTGCGTATATCCTGAAACGCGATGTGTATGGTTTCCATCTCCCTGAGTGTTACCCCAGAAACAATTTATAGCAAACTGAACGTTGTCTTTAACATCATATCCTTTACCTTTTGTCATTGCCGACCAATCCCAAAATTTATGCTTATGCCAACCTGCTTGAGATGTACTTAAATCTATGTAGTGACTGTGTGCAGGTAAATTTTCACCTGAAATCGTTTTACTTCCACCTGTTTCCTTTGAAGAGTTTGCACAATACAAAAACCTGTCGACTATTTGAGTCCAAGTTCCAAAACCCAGAACTGTTTCTGGTCTGGTAGAGTTCATTGACGTATAAATAGAGCCTATAGGATATAATGTTTGAAGCATTTCTGTCTTTAATGTTTGAAGCTCTGTTTTGTCTGCTTTCTTGTCATATAAATCTTGAGCAGTGAATTTAATATTATGTTCATCCTTCATGACATAAACATCTTTACATCTAATGTTTTTCATCGTCGTTATGTCGTCATCCGATGTTAAACCTTGTGGAAAGTTAGGAGGTTTACAATATATTGCATCCCCACCAGTTTCTTCAACCGTTCCTTCAATACTTTCTATAGCAACAGTTGTAAAACTTGTATGTGTATGGTTCTTATTTGCTTTCTTCTCTAACTCATCGTTAACATAAGTTTTATCTGCTTTAAGGTCTAAACATCCTGAAACCCATCCTGTATCGGCTTTAACTTTAAAAGTCTTCGATGTCCATTCATGGTACCAGTCAACCCTTTCTTTCATTTCGTTATCTTTTTCATCCACATATTCCTTATCCGCTTTCTTCTCTAACTTACTAGCCACATATTCCTTATCTGCTTTCTTTTCAAGGCTAACGTTTAAGTCTGTTATTTCAGATATAGAATGTGTATGAGTCTTTTTTAGAATATTCGTTTTCAGCTCTTGTCACTTCACTTGACATTTTATTGTCAACATATGTTTTGTCTGCTAGTTCAGGATGAGTATGTTCTTTTGTTGCATAAGCATTGTTAGCTCTTTCTTCTTCTTTTGCTATTGCATCGTCTACATATTCTTTGTCAGCTTTGTTGTCAACATCTGCTTTCAAAAGAAGTTCATTTATAGGTTTCTCGTTTAAAGTTCCTTTTGTTGGATTTATACAGACAGTATTGTTCTTCTTGTCTTGAAACAGAAACTCATCTGTCATTGGGTTTAATGTCAGTTTTAAGTTTCCTTCTTTCAATGACTCAGATATCTTAGAGTAGTTTGAAAAGTTTGTTGTGTTCTTATTTAGAGCTTGCATAATGAGTTGTCGGTTGTGTTGTATTTCTCTTATGGAAGCAATATCTTTCGACATTTTTATTCTAGATAAAATATGCTTTCAATAGAAAAAGAAAATTCAAGAGTTGCTACAACTAAACCATTAGATGAACTTTTTACTAATTTCGGTCAAAAGTTTGAGACAGAGACCGTAAAGCATGAAGGCTATCGTTTTGACTACCCATTAAGATGGTTAAGAGACCCATCTGTCACAAAAGCTATTGGCTTTCGTAGAATGAAGTTCATTTCAGAAGCCATACATGGTTTCCCATTTACGGTCGGTTTTGAAGTTCGATACTATAACAAAGAAAAACGTATGTATGAGAAATTTGAACAGGGAAAACTTTTACAAGTTAGTTTGCTTGTAAACTTAGAAACAACTCTTCAAGCTTTTCAAGAAAAAATAAACGATATCTATATCGAATATGCAAACCAGTATAACATTGACGAGGGAGAATACCATCTCGATATTATTTATGACAGGAAAAATGCAACTGTTAAAATCAATAGAATAGAAGACCTTGGAGAAAACGTTTATATTTCTACAAAATATAACAACTTGGCATGGTATAGATTTATGAGGATGTTAAATCAGCCTGCAGCATATCCAGTACACCCAGACTTTTATGAAGTCGAAAACCCTAATGGAACATATGAAAATGTTTTCGACCCAGCTGCTATTATTGTTCATGCTTCATTTTCTGGCGCCCAAAACTCTTTCTTATGCTTGGCAAATGACTTTTACGAAAAACCTACAAAGTTATACGAACCACCAAGTGGAAGTATTTCAGACTTTCAAGTATGGTTTACTACAGATGGAAGAAAAAGAATAATTCCATTATACCATGCGTTTTACTTAGAACTTAGTTTCATATACAACTACTATCGAACGGTAAAAATATAATTTTTTAATACGGTTGAGGTGTTGTATTTGGTTGCCAACTAGACTGTGGTGCAGGTTCAGGCTGTTGTATAACAGGAGCTTGTTCTTCTGGTTCAGGGTCTTTAGGTATAATACCAACGAACTGACCTACTCTTTTACCAATATTTTTGACTCCGTTCCAAATTCCTCTTCCTACGGTTTTTATTCCATTCCATATACCTCTTCCAACATTTCGAAAGAAGTTTCCAATACTACTGAAGAAACCCATTTTACTATATGTAAAAATCTAATGTCCGCCTAGTCTCTTACGTTTCCTGTTGAGTTCCATAGCATTCTTTAACTGGAGCTCATACATTCTGTTTCTCCTCTGGTAGAAAACATATTCTGGGTCAACTCCTGTGTTCGCGTCATCTGCATAAAGTTGTTTATATCCCACTTCAGGGTTTGTATAAAACTCTTTCCATCTCATATTTGCATACCATGGTGGCAAACCTAACGCAGCGTCATTTGACATGGCAGTTTGCATTTGTACATCTGTTGGCACTTGACCATAGTTTGCCATTGCAGTTTGTATTCTAACTTCATTTGGAATATTCTCTGGGTTTGGTTGTCCAGGTTGCTGTGCATTCGCTAAGTTCTGTGCGTCCATTTAATATTAGATAAAAATATCTCTTACGAGTACATATACTGAACATTTGCAGGCATTGATTCATCTTCATATTCTCTGTACTTTTCTGCCACGTCAAATAAATAAATGACACAATGGAAAAAACCCAAAACAAGTAGTCCTATTTCAAACCACATTTACTTACTAATAAAATTTCTTTATTGTGACACTTTCTCCAGTTTATAGGACCTCTCTCATATTCTATCTTGTCATATCTAAACTCATAGTCATGTATGTCCTCTAACCATCTCATAACGGTTTCCAAACCACTTTTATCGGATGTAAAGTAAAAGCATGGATGGTTATGTAAAACGTCTAAAGTTTCTAAAGAGTCTCTCAAAGTCCAGTCTACTTGGTATTGAAAATCCCATGTGTTATAGAACGGCGGGTCCACTATAAAGAAAACATTTTCCTTGTCTTTATATTTTTCATACAACTCTGTCCAATAACATCTCACAAACTCTATACCCTCAATATATTTTTCTATGTCCTCTTTGAAAACATTTGTATAGTTAAGATATAAAACTTTTGACATAAGTGTTTCAATGTCATGAACTCTTATAGAACCACTATATAATAGTCTAGCAGATATACTACCAGTCTATATATTCTGCTTTTTTCAAAACCTCTCTCACAATATTTTTCTTATCTAATGGTATACGTTCCATCTTACCTATAGGTATCTTTTCTTTTAACTCTTTCAATATATTGTTTGTGTCTGGTATATGTTTGAGACGGTCCATATAGTTGTCGAAGTCATTGCATATAATCTTTGAGTCAGGAAATACGGTATGACATAAATGGGATATATAGAAACTTCCACCGAACAAATCTACAAATGTTAGACCATTCGGTAGTTTCTTAAGTTCTCTCAATATAATATCTTTACATTTACTCTTATTTCCAAAGAACGGTAACGGAGGTTTTGTAAAATTCATTTATATATAATAATAAAAATGTTTTTTTCCTGAAAAGTGACAGAAAAGTGACAAAACATGAAAACATATATAATTTGTGAAAAGTGAAACATTATATAATGTTTTCGACCCAGAAGAAGGCTTCTTCCCAGAAGCAATGGAGGAAGAAGAAGAGTCCTCCGAATTCACACCAGAAGACTAACAATTTTCCGAATAAAAACTTCATTTATACTAAACATCTTCGGGGCTAGAGGGCACGAAGTGCCTGGAAGCCCCACTACCTTTTTTTTTTTTTTTTTATATTTTAATTAAAAAATATATGTTATCGATCATCACACTCAAATTGAATTTCAAAAATTTTAGAATTTGTCAATTTCAATATTGAAAATATATTTCTTATATCATAGCGATTCATGTTATAATAATATGGAGAAGAGAGAGGGTCAAAGTTGCTATTTGTCACTTTTCCACAAGAATATAATGGGGAAAAAGTTATCATATAGTTGATCTCATTCACTGAGATGAGTGATGCATGTAGTGTAATGTGATAAACAGTGGGATTGCTGCTCTAAGTCCTAGGTTCGAGACACATTGGCTTCATTTTTCTCTTTTTTATTGACGTAAACTATTCAATTTTTGTGTTCTCCATTCAAATTTCAGAATTTTTTTGCAGATTTCACGCTACATTCGAAGTTACCTTTTGTAACAACCACCACTGCCTACGAAAGACGAAAGTGTGTCACGATTTCACCCGGAAATCCGACGGTTGTTTAAGAGTAAGCACTTTTGGCACCTACTCATATGGAGAAAAATATTGTTTTAAATCTAAAATTTAAAATGAATGATTGGGCATTACATTATTCCAATTTATTGTTTATTTGTTAATCTAGTGGAAACAATTAATATTTTGGAGAAACAAAAATTTGAAATTTGAAATTTTGAAAAAAATGCATGAATCGGTAATTAAACATTGATTTATTAATTTATTAGCCATGTCTTTGATGTTGGTCTTATTCTTAAGCCGATTTAAAGAATTAATTTTTCCAAATCGTGTTTGACATTAACACATATAGATATATCAGGAAAAAAGGTATCACTTATCAAGTTATTGGTTTTTATGTATATCCTAACTTTGCCTCGTTCTGAATACAATTCTAGTTAACGAATTTTAAATAACTATATAAAGAATACATCATTTTGGTTTTATTATTATTAAAATGATATATATTAGCTATGTATATGCTTGTAAGAATATTATTCCGTGAATTGGAAACAGAAAAAATAAATTTAGACAGAAAATGCATATCTTTAAAAAATAATATGAAATTTAGCTTTGATATTATTATCCGATAAAATATGCATGATAATTACTCCGCAAATAAAAAAAAGTAGTGGGGCTTCCAGGGGCTGCGCCCCTTCTAGCCCCTAAGAAATTTTGCCCAAGACCCAAGAGGAGGACCGAACCCCAGCCGACCAGCCGTTGACTTTTTTGTAGAGCACTCAAAATAGTATAACTTTGTCCGGACAAATAAGGGTCTATCGTCGCTACAGGAAAAGTTACAGGCGTTCCAAGGAAGTATACTTTGAGAAGCCTTTTTCCCCTTATAGAATGAGATAGGACGGTTATTTTACAAAACTGACAACACTTTGACCGAGTAGTTTTTTGTGCTGAACAAAAAGTGTCATATAAACATCTGTCAAAAACCGTTTTTTACTTCACTTAAAATGCCACGTAAGCTACGTAAGAATATACGTAAGAGGAAGGGAGCATTGAAACATCCAATAGTAAAACTGACACCACAACAACAGTTGCAACAACAAATTATGAATGACCCCACTATGTTGCAACAAATGTCAAGCAACCCTATGCTTTTAAACCGAGTTATTGGTGTACAGAGTGGAGGTTTAAGAGCGGCACTTTTAGCGAAAATGGCAGGCTATGGTGGAGCTGCAGACGGAACAGCTTATAACCCTCAAAGTCAAATGAATTTGAGTTCACTCAAAAATCAAATAACAGATGTCAAAAAGTCAAACATAGACATACAGAAACAAATAAGTGAAAACGAAAAGAAACTAGAATATGACAGACACACAAAGAAACTCAATGAGTTAAACGTAAGAAAAAGAAGAAAGAAGAACAACTGAAAGAACTAAGTACAGAGGAATATGCGAAAAAAGTGTCAGAAAAAGCAGCAGAAGTAGCAAAAATGGAACAAGATGTTATAAATTTGAAAAACCATACTACTCCATATAAAGTACTGAAAGATGAAGAGATAAAACAAAAAGCCCTGAAGACATATATGGATAGCGATGAGATATAAAAAGAAGTTGAAGCAAATGTAAAGGCAGAAAAAACTTTTACAGTTGCAAAACCAAACCGTACAGTATGAAAACTTAGCACAAGAAAGTAAAAATAACGACGCAGCCATGCAAAAGGCAATGAAAAGCGCAGAATATATAAAAGCTAATAATGACTGGTTAGATGCCCAAGCCAACGCTAAAGCAGCCCAACTTATAGGGTCAATAAGGACAAAAATACAAGCGGATGAAGACAGTTCAAATGAAGCTTTAATGAATGCTGACTTTAAGAAACGCCTTCGAAGCTCTTCATAGTAAGGTGAAACTAGTGAACGACTTCTCATCTGGAAAGAAACTGAAGTCTGAAGGTTTCGACAACGAGTTAAGAGAAGTAGCACAAAATATGACGAAAATAACAGATGCAGCAACGAGACAGGCAGTTCAAAGTGCCTATGACGCCGTTAGAGCAACTGTTGTGGAAAGTCAAGAAAAAGAGTTACAACAGACCAAAACAGACCTAGTAAATGCTTTCTTAAAAACGAAAAGTCAGGTAGGACATTATGCTGCAGATGGAACATATGTGCCAGCTGGTGGAACTTATATACCAGCTGGTGGAACTTATATACCAGCTGGTGGAACTTATATACTAGCTAGTGGAACTTATATACACCAAACCCTCCAAGAGAAGCACTGCACCAGGACTACCTAAAACATTTACATCGTCACATGGACACAGACACAGGCATGCACCAAAACCACACAACAACCAACAGTTCAAAATCCAGCACCACAACCAACAGTTCAAAACACTGCACCACAACCAACAGTTCAAAACACTGCACCACAACCAACAGTTCAAAACACTGCACAGCAACAACCACAAACAGAGCAAGGACATAAAAGAAGTAGAGAACAAGGAAACCAAGAATTCTTAAAAATGCTTAAGGAAAATTATGGTTACCCAGATACTCTTGACTTTAGTGACAGATATAAAGAAGCTATTAGAAAGTTCAAGGAAGGAAATACTGACCCGAACCTATTTAGCTTTATGGTTCAGCACCAAATGGGATATAATTTCAAACCTGGAAAATACAAGCTCGCTAAGGGATATGATTTAATAGCATATCATCCAAATGACATGGATGAATTTACTCCGAGATATTTGGTGTCAGAGCTAAATGATAATTCAACTCTCTTCATGAAACGCGTAAAAAATAGAGACGGAACGAAAGAAGAAAGGTTTATGAGTCCGGATGACTTAGATAGGGAACTTTTTAAAAACGGTCTCGGAATATATGAAATGCCAGCAGATGAGGTACAAGAAACTCCACAGGAAGAAGTTCAGATACAACCAGACATGGAAGAAATAGTTCAGCAACAACAGCTAGAAGAGCCTGAAGGAAACGAACAAGTCCCTCCTTTGGAAACTAACTTCACAGAACTAGATGAAGATTTGGAACAGCCGAAAAATCTTGACCCTCAACAAGAGTATGCGGAGAATATGGAATCTTTCCAAGAGTCTAAGAAAAATTCGGCTGACATAGTAGAAGAATATCGAAAAATGTTTGCCGACATACAAAGACTCCAACATCAGATGAAAATATTCAGCATAGAATGGAAGTACTGAAAGAAAGTGTACGCAAATACAACAATCCTTTTTACTTACGACCATATAACGTTCAATCTTTGGCTGAACTCGGTGAAAATAAAAGGTTAAATTTCACCAAAACATATAGAAATGAAACATTGTTTAAAGTTCATTCAGAACCTAACCAATATGGAAACAAACCTACTTTTGTTTCTGCAGACTATGGAACTACAATGAGATGGGGTCATAAAGCTAATCCGGATAGGTGGTTCATAAACTTACAACCACAATTCCAAGAAGTTGTAGACGCAATGGAAGTGAATGGTGAACCAGATATAGCTGGTATTTTCAGCGCGGCTTTAATGCCATTGAAAGATATGAAACATGCAGATATTTTGAACCAGTATGAAATGAACATGGCTGATGGAAATATAACACCTGACGTTCTAGAACATTTATCTCAAAGAACTACACAGAACCATAGAGATGGTATATTTGGTGAAGAGTTTAGAAAGAAAGTTAGGGAGATAGAAGGAAGAGAACCTATTGTACATGACCTTGCAAACGAAAGTTTGCAAAATGTCATAAAAACTTACTTTGCAGACAATGAACCGAGAAGGGATGAATATTTAAGAAAACTCAAATGGACAGTACCAAATGAAATGTTAGTATTGAAAAACATGTTCCTTGACAAAATAAAACCAACTACAGAAATAAATGACGCAAGACTGAAACATTGGGTAAAAGCTTTCCCATTCACAAAAGATATTATTGGTAACATGGAAAGAAAACCAGAATGGCTACAAAAACATATATTTGGAAACGAGCTTATTCCATATGGACAAGCTCTGTTTGAAGAGCTTGAACCGGAAACTCAGGAAAGAGTCATGCAAACAATACGCGAAGACTCAAATACAAACTATGACAAAATCTTTCTAGGATATAGGTTACCTGAGATGGGCGACCAGAGCCCAAAGGCAAAAAGGACATGGGAAATTTACAACATACTAGGTGAACATGAGGCAAAGATGCAACAACTTGAAGCAGAGGGCAAGTTACCAAAAGCGACACCAAAGAAGAAGAGTAGAACAAAGTGAAAGTAGTGAAGAAGTAACTTCATCTAGTGAAAGTAGTGGCAATGAAGGAAAAAGAAGAGTTAAAAACTCAGTCAGGAAGAAAGTAAAGCTTGGTACGAAACAATTATGACACATAAATCCAACTATTCTATATTTTTACCCATATGAAATGTACGCCGCTCAGAATATAACGCCAACAGTTTTGGATGCCATGAACGGAAATGTTTCCGAATGGTATAACGAATGCGACAATGCCATTAGAAGGTCAGAAATAGTTCCTGGAACTTACGAATATACAACTGCTGTTTCTTATGGAAACGTAGGTGAGTTTGGAGAAGGTTCTTCAACAACAGTAGATATTGCTTGTGACAGGTTTCATATTATTTCTATTGACAACTCATTCTTATACGTGGAACAAGACATTGAAATAAAACCTTCTGCCAAGTTGTCTGACAAGAAAGGTTGCAATGGAATTTTCTATGTCGGATACCAATATGCTCCAGAAGTTTTCATGGGATATAAGATATATTCTAACTCTGACTTAGTTCAAACAGTAACATGGGCAAACTATGAATGGTTCGCTTTGAGAAACTCAGTACAACCACAAGCTAGAGAACAAACAGACCAGTATGCAAATATTGAGAAAATAAGAAGACTTGACCCTAACGTTCCAGGAGTTTATGTTAACCTTTCTGGTTCAGATGGAAATGCTGCCACTAAAGTAAAACTGAAACTTAGAGTTCCTTTGTCATCTTTCCTCATCTTCAGGTTTTTAAGATACTTGCCAAACTGGGCAGGAAAAATTTCTATTGAACTTACTCCAAGCAAAAATAACTTAGTCATTGCACCAACACAAGACCCATTCAGCATTACTGTAGCTGGAACTGGTGAGCCAAGTTCTGTGACTTTTGCAAAGACAAAGTTGACTTAGACTTTGGTTTCTCAAACTTCAACAATGAAGTAAACTATTATTTCAATGCTGCTGGAACTGCTTGGGACCCAGTTAAGTTCACATGCGAAAAATTTGAATGCAAGAGAATAGAAAGCAGACTTGCAGTCTATATGTTGGACCCAGATATTTCAAATGCTTTAGCTGCCAAATATATTGCAGTTCCACTTATGTTCCCTATACACCAAATATCTGTCAAAGACTTTGCAGGTGAAGTTGGAAACCAAAGTGCTGACCCAGGTGCAAGAACAGATATTGCTTTAACAACTGCAATGAAACATGCAGATACTATGTTTGTACTGTTCAGACGAACTATAAATGACTATTCTTGTTTCTACAACCCGGTATTAAATATCATAAAACATAGATGGCAAATATTATCCAAGAGAAGAATATTCTACAGTTGAGGATATGAGGTCATACAACTTGACATTAGATGCTATGAACTTTAACAACAACTTCACAACAACCATTAACCCTGAAATGCAAAGTTCTATTATGCCATATGTGAAAGTATGGACTCATACAGGAGGTCAAAAACTCAATATACAAATGGAGACCGTTCAAACTTTTGGCTTGGCATTCCATTTGCTGACTCAGAAGACTTTATGGGTGGTATTTCAACTGTTGGTACTGTACAAATACAATATACTGGTGACAGAGACGGTCCAGATGAACTGAGAGCAAAGAAGTTTACAAAACCAATAGCACTTTTCACGGAAGATGCTCTTTTGAAGATTCGTTCGATGAAACCTGCTGGGGCTCCTCAGATTGGCATAACGACAGCTTCCATCGAGCAGATTTTGGCAGCAGTCAGTAAGTTGTTCTTGAACTGACTTCTCTCCGTCAAATATTGACAGTACGCCAGTTTTGACATAATATTGTAAGATAAACTTACCTTTAGAAATATCTGTAAGTTTTGTTGTTATATTTTTGTCAACGTCAAGAACTTTCACCATTTCAGTTATACCAACTTTCTTTGCTTTATGGAAATATTTTGGTTCAGCAAATATTGCTATTCTATAACATTTACCATTGTTTGTATAAAGAACTATTCTGTCAATGTATTTGTATTGTTTGTGTGTGTAAACTTTGTTCTGCTTCAATTCAAAGAGATATCCGAATACGTCCATCTTTTTATTCTAAGTAAAATGTCATTTCCGAAAAATAGAAGCGTGAGTGTTTCAAAAGGTTTAATGGCGGTGGCAGATGTGAAGTTAAATTCACCAACTCAAACAAACAGTCAAAGTGTTGTTGTCAATGTCAAAAACAGAGATGTTGAAGTGGGGAAACCATACGAAGACGAAGATGGTATAACAATTGTTCCTGTAAAAGAACCAACATATCCTGAAGTTAGCAGAGACTTAAGTTCTGTTGCAGATATTCGAAACGACTACCAACAACTGAAAGACAAACTTCAAACTCAGGAGAAGATTTGTCAAGCTTTAAGTATAATGTTAAACTTGGTCGAACACAACCCTGTAAAAGTGAACTCATATGTCATTGCACCTCATGAAGTCTTGAAAGAACTATTGAAACTTTTGACAGAGGCAGACGATATAAACATCAAAGAAATAGAACCCGACATTAGTTGCTGTGGTGTTTCATATAATGTCATTGACAAGATATACGTTATGAAAGGAGGTGAAACGTTGAACTTAAAATATAGTTTCCCAGACGTTATAAAAATATTTGACGACCACAACATTTCATTAAAATTTATTTGCTAAGTAAAAATGTCAAAACTTCTTGAAAGATGTTTGAAGAAAAATAATATAGACTTTATTTCATGTAAAGGACTTTACACACTTTTGAACGATATGAAAGACCCTGTTTTGTTTGTTCGTGTAGACAAAGGAAAGTTCTATGTCTTTACAAAAATATTTGAACTTCTTAGACAGAGAACTTCAAGAAACGCCATGTGAAAGTTTAGATGAAGTTCTTCTCCACTTTCAGAAAAACTTTTAAATATATATAAATGGCAGAAGACATAATGGTTTATACTATTACGACTAAAAACCCTGAGTCATATAATTCTATAACAACAAACTTACAAAGTCCTCAAGGACGATATTGTAAACTAACCTTAAACACAATGACGACTAAAGCCTGTTTTGCTCTTTTGACACCAGAAGACTTTATTGTTGTGAATGGTAAAAAATACTCCTTTGAAGATACTTACTCAGATATACCACCAACAGGTTTTGTTGACTTATTTAATACTTTAAGTACAGGTGTAACATGTGCTGCAACTAGAGCAGGTTTCATTATGTTTGGATGTCCGACTGAGTTTACTATAAACGATATGAGCTATAATACAAAACTTATTTCTGGTTTTTACTACCAACAGTTTCCTATAACAGGAAAAGGTGTCATACAAGGAATGTCTATTCCATTGACATTAAGCACACCAATCTTATATATTGTTTCAAACTTAGGTTCAAAGTGTTATTCGAATGTCGACAGAAACTATTATGACCAAAAGATACTTATGCGTATAAACAATACTTTCTCTGCTGGTTTGCCTATTGTTCATTCGAATGCAGAATTTTCAACCTTAGTGAACTCAAACACTTTGGCAAGTATAACGTTGACATTAGTTGACGCAAACTTTGTTCCTGTAAAACTTTTATGTCCTATGTATTTGTCAATGACGGCAGAAAGTTTCGAATTGGAAGATGCAACTGGTGAAAGTATTGTATTACAAGAACAACTTCAACAACAAATAGCTCAAGAACAACAAATGCAACAAATGCAACAACAAAGTCAAGAATAAAAAAAATATTTTTTTTTATTTTTATAAAAATGTACAGAATAGATGTTTCAGATTTTTATGACTTCCAAGCATTCAGAAATATGTGTCCATTTCGAGACTATAACAAAGCAGTCGAGAATTTGAAACGTTTAGTCATTTATGTCGACTCTGCCCCAGAATGTTATGTTATGAAAGAATGGGATGTAGTCTTTAACAAACCTAAAGCGACAATAGTTTCAGAACAAGAATGTAGACAGAAACTTAAGAAAATAAAAGTCGTACAAGTTGGCATGAAGATGTTAGATGCTTGGGATATCTTATTGTCAAAGTTAGAAGATTTTTCAGTTCGAGGTATAAAGTTCTATACACCTTCTCCAAACTTCTATTCTATCTTCACTGGATATAAATACGAACAAGTAGAATGGAAAGAAAATATTATAGAAGCTTGGTTAGACCATGTCAAAGAAATTATATGCAATGGAAACGAAAAGGTTTATGAGTATATCTTATGTTGGTTTGCAAACATCTTACAACATCCAAGTGCTAAAAATGAAACTGCTCTCATTATAATTGGAAAACAAGGAACTGGTAAGAACGCATTCTTTACAGATATTTTGTGCAAACTGTTAGAGGGCTATTCGAACCCGAATATGACAAACTTAGAAAACATCTGTGGCAAGTTTAACTCCTCAATAGAGAATATGAAACTTATAGTATGTAACGAACTTCAAAGTATAGATACAACAAAAGTTTTAAACTCAGATGCTTTGAAGAGTCTTATAACAGACAAAGTTGGAGTTGTTGAAAGAAAATATAAAGACCAAAGAGTTTGTGAAAATGTTGCAAACTTCATTATGGTTTCAAACAATGCTGTTCCGATGAAGTTAGAAAGTTCTGACAGAAGATATGTAGTTGTCAGAACGTCAGATTCTCATATGCAAGATACAGAATATTTTGACGACTTAGCAGAAACTTTGACATCTGACTTTTACAACCACTTGTTCTCATATTTTATGACATTAGATATTTCAAAGTTCAATCCAAGACAAATTCCACATACCGAAGAGAGACAAACATTGTTAGAAGCAAACAAGAGTGTATATGAACTGTTCATAGATGAAACTGACTTTGAGTGTTTAGATGAAAGGTCATTGTACGATTCGTATAAACAATATTGTCAAGAATATGGTTATATGACAGCGTCTAAACGAACATTCTTGGCAAATGTCAAAAGTCTTTTAGATGTTCAGAATGGTGTATATACAAAGAAAATTTTTTCTGAGTAAATTTTAAAAAAAAATATTTTTTTATCCGATAGAAAAGATGGCAAAATTCATCTCAGTAAACAAGTACATGTCAGGACTTAAAGAAGAACTAGACCCATTCACATATTTGAATGTTTACTTCTACCATTTTGAAAAGTCTTCATTCAGCAAAGTTTGGAACATCGAACCAGTTAAGTTTGCTATTGTGACTAAAAATGGTGCGAAATTTGAAGACTTAGACATAGAAGGTTTGTTAGCAGTCAAAGAAAGTTTTGACAGAAGGTTCTCAAACCTTAAAGAAGGCAAAGCATACAAACTTGTTATACCTTATGAACCAAAGAAAGCAGACGACTATGAATATTATGAGTCTAAAGTTGTAGAAGTTCAAGGTAAATTGGGTAAAAAGATTTTAGAGTCTAAGCCAGTGTTTACTCCTAAAGAGGAAGAGAACATTGACATTGACCCAGAAATGTTCTAAAAATAAAATTTTATTTTTACATGTCAAATTTCTTTTTCTCTGGAACTGGTTCAGGTTCTTTCTTCTCTTCTTCTACTTTCTTTTCTTTCTTTTCTTTCTTCTTCTTTTCTGGTGGAGTTATGTCAAATTTGGCGCAACTATATTTATGTAAAAGTTCTTTGTCCTTTAATAGCTCATCTATTCTGTTTTCTATTTCATCTTCAAGAACAGCGCATGTGTCTTCTTTGCATTCTAAGAACTTTTGTTGGACTTCATCTTTCCAATCGGCGTCATCTCTGTCAACAAGTCTGTCATTGACAAATTTTAAGACTGCTCTTTGTAATGTTTTATGGTTCTTGTCATATTCCCAGAAACAGAACTTTAGAACAAATTCACCTTTCTTGTTTACACTATGTAAGATTTTATGGTCGACAGATGTTTTGCTGTCAAAAAGCTTGTCTCGAATATAGATAGCGAAATCGCTAGACATTTTCTAAAAGATAAAAATTTTAATTTTTCTAAAAATATGTTAGAAAAAAAGTTTGCTGACATTGACAAGAAATTTGAGAATGTTTTAAACAAGAACAAGAGGAAGTTAGAAAATGCTCAGATAAAACCTATACATGACAAGTTCTTATTTGCTCAGAATGGTATAACAGGTCTAATTGCACCACCTGGGTCGGGTAAGACTTTCACTTATCTTAAAATGGCTGCACAACAACAAGAACTAGATGAGAAGAACCCATTTTATGAGTTAGTAGTCATTTGTAGTACTTCTGGTCAATTTGACCAAACCGTCAATTCGTTCAAAGATATTATAAAGAAGTCTAAGTTAGTATGTATAAAAGACTCTGAGTTGTTAGATTGGATAAAGAAGTACCAAAGAAGAGTTTTGAAGTATAATGCTATAAATGAGTATATAAATTCTAAGTTTAAAGACCCAAATGAGGAAATGCAGAGAATATTAGAGAAGAAACACTTCAGAAACAAACAGAAAGAGATAGAATACATTTCGAAGAAATTGCAATCTTACGATTGGAAGACTTACCCTCATAGGTGTCTTCTTATTTAGATGATTTCGCCTCTCATCCTTTGTTAAAGAATAGAGAACAAGATATGTGTCGAATTCTTAAGAAGCTCAGACACTTTAACATCTCAGTTGTCATTTGTGTACAGACAGCAAAGAGTTTAAGTAAGGATGTTAAAAGAATACTTACTGACATTATACTTTTCCCTGGATTGTCCGAAGACGATTTCATGGAACTTATGAAAGAGTCCATGGCAGGTAAGTTTGACAGACATGAACTATGGGAGAAGTACAAAGTCATACAAGACCCTCATACTTCTTTCAGAATTCATATCTACGCAAACAAAGTTCAAATTGTAAAAAGTCAAGCTTGAAAAATAAATGGTTCATCTACCCTACTTGTTTGAAGTTGTCAAAATACTCTGTTATTTTTCCTTTAACAATGGCAAATCTTCTTTGAAGGTAAGTATTGTACAACCTTTCATATCATAGTGTGTTTGAGGTAACGTATCTTGAACTATTTGTTTCACATCTTCATTCGGTGTCATTGAAATCGGTAAGTTTTCGCGATAGAACCAATTTCTGTCAGATTTGTAAATCTTAGCAAGGTCGTAAAAGCTTTTGTTGTTTCTTCTGACTAAATGCAACATAACCATATCTTTATCTTCTTCATTTTCCATCTCTTCAGTATAAATCATATACTTATAGTTCTTTTCCTTTCCTTTTGGTACCGAACGTGGTATTCTTTTCTGAATGCTTTTGTCTTTTGCTTCAATGACTTCATCTTTTGCTTCAAGCTTGTTTTCAATCTCTTCACGTTCTTGTCTATGAATTTCGTCAAGAAGTCTGTAAATATTCCAAGCATAACGAGGCGAAGCCCACATTGCAACAGCATTTACAAGAAGTCTATGTACATAATATCCTCTCAAACCGTTTGGCAAATTTTCACGATTTTCATGAGTTTTAGGCGACTGGGTTTTCTTACCTACTCGCTGTTCTTCACTGTTTTCAGAAAAAAGTATGTCTCGCTGTGCTTCGCTCAAAAGTTCTTGTGTGCTTTGGTTCCTAAACCAGTCTTTAGGAAGCTTAGTATCTGGTGCAAAACATGCTGTCAAAATACTTTGCATTTGGTACATATCGTCTTTGACCGAACGAATGAGACGGAGTTGTTTGTTAAACTGTATGTACTCATATTCTTCATTTATAGCTTCATGGACTATAACTGTTGTTGTGTTCTCTGTTGTTGACATATCTGTCTTTACATACAAAATAAAAAAATATTTTATAAAAAATTAGCGTTATTTTTTCTATCTTAAGGAAATTCATGAAATTTGGTCATTTTTCAGCAAAAATAAAGTTTATGTTAGCATGTTAGATCTAACACGTTTTCTAACCTCTTTTCTAACATGGTCTAAAACACACAAAACTCATGAATTTTGTGCTGAATTCAGCAAAAATATATTTTATGTTAGCATGTTAGATCTAACACGTTTTCTACCCTCTTTTCTACCCCAGTTATTTTATAAGCGTTTTACATGGTAAACGTTATGAATTCGTGAGACTCTAAACAGTTTTGTAGCTTCTATTTCTTCTTTTAGTACATCGAATGTTTTAACAATGCCGAAAGTTTCTTTATACTTCTTCTTGACGTCAGATAGAAGGAAATCTTCTGCTGTTGGATAGTTTTTGTCAAGACTTCATTGTAAATGACCAAAAATATATTTTATGTTAGCATGTTAGATCTAACACGTTTTCTAACCTCTTTTCTAACATGGTCTAAAACACACAAAACTCATGAATTTTCGTGAATTTCCTTAAGATAGAAAAAATAAAGTTTATGTTAGCATGTTAGATCTAACACGTTTTCTAACCTCTTTTCTAACATAACTATTTACAAGCGTTTTACATGGTATATGTTGCGATGGTTCATGACTTTAAACAGTTTTGTAGCTTCTATTTCTTCTTTTAGTACATCGAATGTTTTAACTATGCCGAAGGTTTCTTTATATTTCTTCTTGACGTCAGATAGAAGGAAATCTTCTGCTGTTGGATAGTTTTTGTTCAGAAATTCTAACATGTCCATTTTATTTTCTACCGGCTTTTCTGCTTCTTTCTTTAAGTCTGCATAGTCGTTTCTCATTCTTTCTATCTCTTTGACGGAGTAGTTATATTTCCTCATTGCTGCTTTACATTTAGAACATTGCGGGTTCATTTTTGCGTTATACATTGAAATAAAACCAGCTAAAACAACTAAAGCGTCAATTGCTCTCTTCATCTCAAACATAGCGGGTCTTATTTGTTTGTTCCATACTTTGCCTCTTCTATCTTTATCTCTTATTTCCCAAACGCATTCAGCAACTAACGAAACAAAGTTGTCGTAGGTCTTAAATTCTTCAGATTTATATATGTCAGAAACATTCTTATATACCATGTCGCAATCTTTGTCCATAACCTTATGGTTGCAATGAAATCCTAGAAACTCATAGTTTACCTTTCGTATGAACTTCTTTATTTCTACTGAGTCAGTTGGTTTCACTTCAATTTCGTCGAATTCAGGAATAGTGAGTTTTTGTTGTTGGATTTCAGGCAATTTGGGTAAATGGTCGATGAGGTCCTCCATTTCATAAAGATATTCTTCATTTGTTTCATCTTTCGCACTACAGTCTAAATTACTTGTTAAAAGTTCTTGCTTTATCTTCTGGATTTCTGTTTCAAAAGTATATGAAGACGAAGTGAAGCTTTTCATTTCTACTAACATAGATGTTGGATTCATGACTAACGAGTTTGGTGCTGTTGTTTGAATTGTTGTTGTGCCGATTGTTGAAATCATGTCTTTTATACAAAATAAAAAAATAAAAAAAATAAAACTAACTTTATTTTTTATTTCGGGAAAATTCATGAAAATTCAAGAGGTGAAAAAAGAGGTGAAAAAACAGGTGAGATCTAACCTCTTCACCTAAATTATATTTTTGGGTCCTTTACACTCATTACGAAGAAGTCTTGACAAAACATTTACGAAGAAGTCATGAAAATTCAAGAGGTGAAAAAAGAGGTGAAAAAACATTTACGAAGAAGTCTTGACAAAACATTTACGAAGAAGTCATGAAAATTCAAGAGGTGAAAAAAGAGGTGAAAAAACAGGTGAGATCTCACCTCTTCACCTAAATTATATTTTTGGGTCCTTTACACTCTTTACGAAGAAGTCTTGACAAAACATTTACGAAGAAGTCATGAAAATTCAAGAGGGTAGAAATGAGGTTAGAAAACGTGTTAGAAAACGTGTTAGATCTAACATTCTAACATAAACTTTATTTTTGGTGTAAATTTCATGATTTTCGAGAGTTTTAGACCATGTTAGAAAACGTGTTAGAAAACAGGTGAGATCTAACATTCTAACATAAATTATATTTTTGGTGTAAATTTCATGATTTTCGAGAGTTTTAGACCATGTTAGAAAACAGGTTAGAAAACGTGTTAGAAAACGTGTTAGATCTAACCATCTACCCGACATTCTCGTCAAATACAAAAAAATGAAAA